TCTGCAAGAAGCCCCCGGGGGCGAGAGCAGGAGCTGGGAGGCAGTGGGGAGGGCTTCCTGGAGAAGGGGGGCCTTGGGGGCGGTCCCCGGGCTGGGTGTTTGGGGGGACAAGATGGGCAGTGAGTGGTCCACAGTGACCTCGCTGCCGGTGGTGTGACCTTGGGCGAGCTTCAGTTTCCACATCTGTAAAACACGGATGATGGAGTCTAAAGTATTGGCAAATCGTGTTGAGTTGCTGGCGTTACTGAGAGAGCTCGCGGGAAGGAGGACGTGGTGGCCGCTTTTGCTGTCACCGTGACTGGGTGGGACTGCAGGGCCTGGGCGTGGCCCAGAGTATGGGGGCCTCGGGATGGGCTTCTGCTCACACAGCTCACTCTGCGCCCCTCTGCCGGGCCCCCCAGAGTGGCAGGACGAGCTCTCGGACAACCAGTCTGAATATTCCATTGGCTCTGAGGATGAGGACGAGGACTTTGAAGAAAGGCCGGAAGGGCAGAGTGAGTGTCAGCACTGGCGACCCTAGAGGGGTGCCGAGGCCGAGTCGGGGGCTGATGGCCAGCTGGGGTACCCCTGGGCGATCAGGGCAGGTTCGAGGGCAGCTTTGGAGGTCTTCCTGAGCAGTCGGTCTCCTGTCCTGGGTGAGTTGGTGGGTGGGGTGGGGTCAGGGTGCTCTGGGCCCCTCTGCGAAGTCGTGGTGGGACTTCTCCCCAGGTGGTCGGCGACAGTCCAGGAGGCAGCTGAAGAGCGACAGGGACAAGCCCCTGCCACCTCTTCTTGCCCGCGTCGGAGGCAATATCGAGGTGGGGCCCAGCTGCACCCCCACATTCCCAATTCCCCTTCCCCTGGTGTATCTGCTCCCCTCTCAGGACCAAGAGCTCACCGCCGCTTTTGCCCCTGGGGTGTGGAGCACGGGCGGGAGGCAGGAGGGCTGGGGCCTGCCTGGGGCCGCACGCCAGGTCGAGATGGGGCTGGGATAGACTTGGGGTGTCCTGCCCCAGCGGGGGGCACCTGCCTGCCTTCTCCGTGCCCCCTCCCTGCCACCTGCCCCGTCCCTGAGTTCTCTGCCCCAGCCCGCGCCCCGCCCCACCCAGGTGCTGGGCTTCAACGCCCGCCAGCGGAAGGCCTTCCTGAACGCCATCATGCGCTGGGGCATGCCCCCCCAGGACGCCTTCAACTCCCACTGGCTGGTGCGGGACCTTCGCGGAAAGAGCGAGAAGGAGTTTAGGTAAAGGGGCTGAGGTGGTGGTGGCCCAGGCTGCGGCCACCCACCCCGGAGTGGGGGAGCCGGCACGACGGGCAGCGTTTCTGCTCCCATCGGGCCAAGGGCGTCTGGAGAATTCTCCGCCGTGTGGTCTTGGGTGGCTGGGGTCCAGGCCTGGGCAGGGCTGATTTGCAGAAAATGCTGACGTCCACCTCTGCTAGAGCAGCTGGTGGTAATGGAATGGAAGGATCTGGGTTGTCCGAGGTGGGGGGGCTGTCCTAAGAGGCTCCTCTGCCAGGGGAGGCCCCCCACCCCATCCTCCTTCGGGGGCCCAATGCAGTAGGCCTGCTTGGGAGGCAGGTGATGGAGGACAATTCCAGCCAGGAAGGCCCCGGGGGTCCTGCCAGCCCTCGCAGAGGGTCCTTGCTGGCCCCCCACTCCCTGAGCCCCAGTCCCCCCCACCCCAGAGCCTATGTGTCCCTCTTCATGCGGCACCTGTGTGAGCCGGGGGCTGACGGCGCGGAGACCTTTGCGGATGGCGTGCCCCGCGAGGGTCTCTCGAGGCAGCACGTGCTCACGCGCATCGGCGTCATGTCGCTGGTTCGGAAGAAGGTGGGTGCATCGGCCTCTGCTGGGCCCTCACTGCTGGTCACCTGCGGCCCCGGTGCGCTTCTGCGCTGGGCTTCAGTGGGCCGAGGGCCAGTACCTGGCCCAGAGCACACGGCTGCCTGGGGTCTGAGCCAGGCTGGAGGGACCAGCCCAGAATGCCTCTCTGGGTGGGGGTTTGGGGGGGGCGGAGACCAGGATGGCATGTCACAGGGCAGAGGACAGAGGGACTGTGTGGTGACGGTGGGGTCTGGAATGTGGGTTGTGGTCGGAAGTGCGTCTGGCTTGGCCGGCCTCGGGCAGAGGTGTGGGACACCCCCAGTCCCGCTGGCAGCTCCGAGGCACTTATGTCTGAACTGTCTTCCCTCCCGCCTTCCCGCCGGCCCCAGGTTCAGGAGTTTGAGCACGTCAATGGGAAGTACAGCACCCCAGACCTGATCCCCGAGGGGCCCGAGGGCAAGAAGCCGGGCGAGGCCGTCTCCTCAGATCCCACCACGCCAGTGCCTGCCAGCCCCGCTCACCTGCTGCCCGCCCCGCTGGGCCTGCCAGGTCTGGGCTCAGACGGGGGGCGGGTGGCACCTGGGTCATGGGACGTGGCAAGGCCCCGGGAGACCCCAGGGCTTCTGCACACCCCACAGAGGACAGCCTTCCTTCTCCCCGAAGCTTCTGCCTGCAGAAGTGTCACTCGACTGAGCGTTTTTCTTTTTAATGACAGCTTTGAGGTATAATTCACGTACCACAGCGATTAGTCTTGATAAGTGTACTATTTGGTAGTTTTTGGTGTATTCACAGGGATGTGCAGCTGTCACCTCTGTCTAATCCCAGAACGTTCTCATCACCTCCAAAAGACACATGTACCCCTCAGCAGTCACTCCCCATTCCTTCCCCCCGCAGCCCCCAGCCCCTGGCAGCCACGAATCCGCTTTAGGTGTCTGTGGATTTGTCTGCTCCGGACATTTCGTGTAAATGGGATCATACGTTGTGTGACCTTTTGCGACTGGCTTCTACTCAGCGTCGCGCTGTCAGGGTCCGCCCGTGTCGTCGCCCGTGTTCACGGCTGAGTAATGCTCCCTTGAGTGGTGCGAGCACTTCTCGTTTATCCATACGTCAGCTGATGGATTTTGGGTGGTCTCTCCTTTCCGACTGCTGTGAATAACGTTGCTGTGAACATTTGTGCTCGAGTTTTTATGGGGACGTGTGTTTTTTTTCTCACGTGGGTAGATAGCTCGGAATGGAATTGCCGGGTCACACGACATACCTTTCTCGGGAACCGCTGCCCTGTTTTTCGTAGTGACCGCATCTTTTTAGGGTCTCGCCGGCAGTATGTGGGGGTTCCGGTTTCTCCACATCTTTGCCAGCGTTTGTTATCCGACTTTATGCTTAAGGCCATCCGAGCGGGTAGTGGTGGCGCTCGCCGTGGTTCGGGTTTGCATATTTTTCTGAAGATGAAGGCAGCGAGCCATTGTTCCTCTTTGGGCAAGGGGCTTTTCAGATCCATCTTTAATTGGGTATTTGTTCCCGAGCATCTTTTTGGTGATCCATGTATTTATCTGGACAAAGCATCTTCTCTCAGTTCGACCTACCTCTCAGGCCTGGGACAGACCTACCTGTCCCCAGGTAACAGGTGAGGCCCTGAGAGGCGTGGCGACTCGGAGGACGTCCTGCTTCTGAGCACAATATGCTCCCTGGGGGTGTAGACTCCTGGGTTTGCTTCCTGGTGCTGTGTGACCTTGGGCAAGTCTCTTACCCCATGAGCACTGTTTTCTCATTCGTGATAGGAGACGGGATAGTGCCCACCTCCCAGGGCTACTTGGAGCCCCGGGGCCACCGGCACGTGGCAGTCAGTTGAGAATTGACTCGGCGTGGAGGAGGCACAGGGCCAGTCAGCCCGCCTGATGGTGGGCTCCCCAGAAGCCTGGCTCCAGGTCCAGGCCTCCGGCCACCTTACTTCCCCGCTTCCTGCTGGGAGGTCCCCTCAATGTACAGCCCTGTCCTGTCGGCCTCTGCCTTCGGCCACTGGGCCCAAGGTCCTCCAAGGATCCCCCACATCCAAGGATCCCCCTGCAGGTCCTGTCCGTCTCCTAGCAGTGCCTGGCCCAGACGGAGCTTCCTGAAGGCCAGACCTGACCTGTCTTCTCTGCCGTCCGCCCCCTGCTCGCCCCCTGCTCCCACCTGCCTCACCTCTTCCCCTTGATCTTTCAGACAAAATGGAAGCCCAGCTGGGCTACATGGATGAGAAGGAGCTGGGGGTGCAGAAGCCAAAGAAAGCCCCAGAAATCCAGGTATGGAAGATGCTGGTAGCTGGGTCCTGGTGGATGTGGGGTGGGGGTTCAGTGTGGGGCCGTCTCAGGCCCTTCCCAGAACTTCTTCTGGCTCCGAGTTCGGGCCTCTGGATCTAGGGGGCGGGGCAGGTTGGAGCGAGCAATGGGAGCCAGGAGGCTGGGTTCCCAGGCCAGCGCGGTCCCTGGCCTCCTGTGGAAGCCCCAGGCCCCGCAGCTCCTCTGGCCTGTCCTCCGTAGGCCCTGCCGACTGCCCTGGACAGAGTGGAGGGTGAGGACAAGCACGAGAGCCCAGAAGGCAAGGAGAGAGCCCGAGAGGAGCGACTGGAGGAGACGGAGAAGGCCCAGCCCTCCCCGGAGCAGCTGCTGAAAGGTGCGTTTCCTCCGTCACCTGCCCAAGTGCCACCTCTGGGTCAGAGGCGGGCAGCCGGGCCCTGCGTCATTCCGTCTCCCCGGCCGAGTGCTGGGCTGCACGTGGCTCTGCCTGAGCCCAGCAGGCCCCGGATGAGGGGAGAGGCAGGGGCTCGGGGCTCTACACGTGAGCTCTCACTTTGCCCGGCACCGGAGTTTGGGGTTCGTGGGCTGCTTGTTCATCAGCGATTTCTAAACTGAGTTTGCATGGCGGTCTGAAAATGCGGGTCTGTGTGATACTGTTTCTATGTGATGTTGTTGAAACTGGCTTTCTGGCTTAACGTGGTCAGATTTTGTAATGCTCGTGTGTGCTTGCAAAGAACATCTGTTCTTTTGAATATAAGGGATTCACGGTATCATTAGCTCGTTGAGCAGACTGACTTTGAATCTAGTTTTCAGTGCTCAGAACGAGAGCAGTTATTTTAAATGCATGAACTGAACGATCACTCGTGGACTGAAACCCTATTATAGGAATATTTGCCACATATTCATTCTTCATCTGTAATTTCTCTGAGGACTAAGATTATGTAAACTGTTAAATCTTCGCGTACCTGTTGGACACCCCTGCCTATTTCTCTCTTAACCAAGGCGTTACCTGACTGTCACGTTCGTTATGTTTTCCATTAACCCAGAAGTATGGTATTTGATATTTATCTTATATTTGTAACCTTAATTTTACCACCTAATATGAGATTCACATGTTGATTCCTATAGGAATAAAAGAAGAAATCTGTTCTCTAATTCTTGGGAGTTTCTGCAGCTATGCGTTAGATCATTAGATAATGCTTGTTGATTATGTTCACATTTTTTATATACCTATTCGTTTTTGGTTTGCTTTGGTCAGTCAGGTCAGACTCGTGTTACAGTCTCTCACTGTGATTGTGGATTCATCTCTTTCTCCTTGTAAAGCCAGATTTTGCTTCATGCTGTTTGAGTCTAGGTTATTAGATGCATATCGGTTCAGGGTTTTTACATTTTTCTGATGAAGTGTGACTGTAATTATTATGTAATGACTTTCTTATCCCTTCTGATACTTTTTACTTTAAGGTTTATTTAGGCTCATTATAGTAATTGTGTGCACGTATCAGCTTTATTATGATATAATTCGCACACCATGCAGTTCACCTGTTTAAAATGCACCATCCAGTTGTTTTTAGTGTATTCACAGGATTGTGCCACCATCAGCACAGATAATTTTAGAACATTTTCCTCAGTCCAAAAAGAAACCCCACGCCCAATACTCTCCACTTCCTCCTCCCGCCAGCCCCTGGCGAACACCGGTCTACTTTCTGTCTCTGTGAATTGGCCTATTCTGGACGTTTCATGTAAATGGAATCGTAAAAGATGTGCCCTTTTGTGTCTGGCTTCTTCGACTCAGCGTGTTTGAAGGTTCATGCGGGGCATCGCGGCGTGGTGAACACTGCATCAATCAGAGCTTCGTTTCTCTTGATGGCAGAGTAATACCCCATTGCGTGCGTACCCCACGTTCTGCTTACCCATTCGTCAGTCGACAGACGTCTGGGGGGTTTCTAGTTTCCAGCTGTTGTGGATAATGCTGCTGTATCCGTTTGAGTGCACGTCTTTGCGTGGACGTAGGTTTTAGATCTCTTGGGTCCGTACCTAGGAGTGGAGTCGCTGGATCGTATGGGAATGCTGTGTTTGACAGTTTGAGAAACCGCCAGGTGCTTTCTGTAGCAGCTGCACCGCTTTACGTTCCCAGCAGCGTTGTGTGAGGGGTCCGCTCTCTCCACACCCCCTCCCATCCTTGCTGTTATCTGTCTTTTTGACGACAGACAGACATCCTAGTGGGCGAGAAGGATCTCGAGTGGTTTTGGTTTGTGCTTCCCTTATGTGTGAAGATGTTGAGTATCTTTGAATGTGTTTATGGGCCGTTTGTATATCTTTATTGGAAACAAGTCTTTTCAGATCCTTTGACCATTTTTAAATTGGACTGTTTGTCTTTTTATTACTGAGTGGTGCTAGTTCCTTACAGATACGTGTATCTTATCAGAGGTATGATTTGCAAGTATTTTCTTCCATTCCTTTATAGTTTATCTGTGTAATAATGTTTTTGGTCTGTCTCTTGTAAACGGCATATGTTTTATTTTAAACCTCATCGTAGAATCTCTACCTTTTAGCTGGCGAGTTTAACCTCTTTACATTTATTGTAGTAGCTGGCTATTTGGATGAATTTCTACTGTTTTCTTTTGCGTTTTCTATTACCTTTGCCTTTTGTGCTTTTTTCTCTTTTCCTGCCATCTCTTGGATTGATTACATTTTCCTTATATTTACCCTTCCCCCTCAGGTCCTTGGGGAAGTTTATAGTCAATTCCGTTTCGTACTTCTCATTTCTTTATGTGTATCCTGAATGTTGTAAAAACCGTAGACGAGTTTAGCTCTAACCCACTGTCCTTCCTTCTTCCATGTGCTGTTGCCTCGTGATTCAGTGTCGATGTGTTTTAATCCCCTACCCGTGTCATTATGCCTATTCCTAATCTTTAATCCTCGTTGAGATCTTCCCACGTGCTAAGCAGTTTCTCGTTGGCTCACTTGCTCTTCGTTGCTTGATTCACTGTCCTTTCTAAAGTACACCCTTGAATGGTGCTTTCAGCGAATTTCTGCGAGTGGCTAATTGCGTGTTATTTTTGCGTTACTCTTGAATATAGTTCCGAATTCGAGGTGGGATGGGGTTTTCCCTCATCACTCTGAAAGTGTCCCCGCTTTGTCTTCTGGCTTCCGTCGGGCTGCTGAGAAAGGCTGCTCTGCGGGTTATCGCCGTCTGAGAAATCTGCCTTTTCTGTCTTTTTCTAACGTTGCAAGATTCCTTTTCAGACATTCTGTTCGTCTTTGGTGCCGTGCACTTTCGCTGAAGTGGAATGTTTATTTCTCATGCCTGCGACTGGGATTCCTCTGGCTTCTGTCTATTACAGTCATTCCCTCTTTAAATATTGTCTTCGTTCTATTATTTTTTTCCTGGTGTCCCTATTACTCATTGTGTATCCATTCATCCAACAAATGGGTATCGAAGGCCTGCTATGTGTTGGGTGCTGTCCAGGGCATTGAGGACACACAAACCAAAAGAGCAGAGCCTTCCCGTGGAGTTTGGATTCTAGCGGGGGAGACAGGCGACCAGCGATAAACGGAGTGTGTCTTGTTTGACAACAGACTCCCAAGGCAATGAAGGAAGGAAAGCAGGTACGAAGTTCGCGAAAGGTGGGCTGACGTGTCTTTCACACCTTGTTCTTCTTCTGTTTCTGTCTCTCTGCAAGGCTTTTTGAGTCATCTTCCCATCCAGCTTCGGTGTTTACTTTCTTGATCCAGCCGTTTTTAACCCACTCATTGGTATTATTCTCCATGGCTGCTAAACAAGTTGTTACAAACTCAGCAGTGTAAAACAACACCCATTTATTGGTTCATGATTCCGTGGGCCAGATTCCTAGCACGGTGTGGTTGGGTTCTCTGCTAAGGGATCTCAAGTTCTCGTCTGGGGGCTGGGAAATATCCACCTCCAAGTCCATTCTTCTTGTCGGCTGACCCAGCTTCTTGGGGTTGGAGGACTGAGGTCTTGTCTCCTTGCTGGCTGTCACTGGGGGCTGTTCTCTGCACCTAGAAGCTGCCACCTAGCTACGGGCCCACTCCATCTTTAAGCTGGGAGTGGTACACCAAATCCCCTTCGTGCTTTGAATAGCTGATGTCTTTTTCTGTGACCGGTCTGAGAAAACTCTGCTTTTAAAGGGTCAGGGCCATCACCTGTGCCCCATCACGGGATTCACTCGGGGGTAGCACCCAGCACATCCAGTCGTGAGGACCATGCGAGGCTTGTCTCCAGGGCCAGGGTGTCTTGGAGGATAGCTCAGAAATCTGTAATGGAAATGTTTAGAGTGTTAACCATCGTGTGTTTCACTTCTAGAAGTTTTATATGATGTGGCTTTTTTAAATTTCCTTTTTTTCCATCTTGTCTTTTCCTGTGGATTCTTTTCCCGTTTCTCTGGTGGGTGGATAATTGTTTTCTAAGTTTCGGTCGGGTGCATCTTCATCTGGTTTGTTTTTGTCTACGGGATCCCATGTCACCTGGGTCACGGGAGTGTCCCCGCCTTCTCCATTTCCAGAAGCCCAGGGCACAGCGTTCTCACTGGTGGTTTCGCTAGGCTGGGGCCAGTCTCCCTGGCACTCCCTCCGTGGGGACAGACATGGCCTTTGCGTTGGGTTTGGAGCACTCGCTGGGCACTTTGCGCCCCTAGGTTTCACGCAGGAGCTGTGCTTCGTCAGCGTGGCCGTGGGCCCGAGCGTGGAACTTCCTGTCTCCCGCAGAGAGCTCAGTGGAGGTGGCAGTTTAATTCCAGTTCTCTGCATCCCAGGGGCTGGAGGCCTCATCCTACCTGTCTGTGTTTCGAGACCCGCCCGACCCCTTACCTGCTGCCGGGCCCCAGCTTATGCTTCTCGAGCTTTTATTTTCCCTGTTTATGGCACCTGACAAAAAGTTTCCTTTTCTTCTTGGGAGCTCACGCATGCGTTCTTCGGGGTGATAGTTTGCCTGACATTTCCGGGTATTTGTAAGAGGGGTTTTGTGTTAATGAAGGCCTGCCATGTTGCCTGAACTTCGAGTTTTCATGGGGTTAGGAGGATTTCAAGACTGTGACTTGGGGGCTCTGATGGGAAGGGTGCCACTAGGCTGGGGGCGAAAGGGAAGGGGTAAGCCGATGGTGGGCGGGTGGGGGTGTCCGCGCCCCTGCCCTGCCTCCCCAGAGGAGCTCTCCTTGGTGGCATCTGTTGGACTCTTGAGCAAAGTGATGGATAGGGTTCTGTGCGTGGCTAAAGCAGAGCTGGAAAGCCCCCAGCCTGGGCTCCTCTGCCTTCCCGGACCCCTGCCCACCCCTGTGAACACCGTTTGTCTTGCAGAGGAAGTGCTTCCTGAGAAGGAGAAAATTCTGGACAAGCTGGAGCTAAGCTTGATTCACGGCAGAGGGGATGACAGCGACTTCAGGCCAGGTTTGGGGCTCTCGTGTGCGCTCTGTCCCGTGTCCCTTGTCTCTTGGGGGTGCCATCTGGGCCACGTTGGGCCTCCTGCAGCCTCCTGGGCACCATCCCCTTGGCCCTAAGCTCTGATTGGAGCTGGTGGGTGGGGACCTGGAGCTGGTGGGTGGGGGCCAGGACTCGCCAGTCCTTCAGGGGACAGAACCCCTTCTTCTCCCTGACCCCTCCTGCGGCCCGGCCACCACCTGGAGGAGGGAGAGCGGGCCGTCGAGCTTGGCCCGGAGCTTTTGGGGCGCAGCTGGAAGCCTCATGTGCCTCCGGGTGCTGGAATGTTCTGGAGCAGACGCTCTCTGCTCAGACTCCTAAAGCGGCACTGCCTTCCTTGAACATAAGCTGCACTTCGCACGGTGCTCTCCCCTTGTTCCCAGGGGTCCTGGCTTGGTGCGGAAGGGGCACCTGGGCCAGAAGCCAGCCCCTCCTGCCCAGATGGAGAGAGGGGGCTGCTGGTTTGTCTGCTTAAAATCCCTGGAGGATGGGATTTCCCGCTCACCTTTGGGTCCCCGGAGCTTGCCGAGAGAGGCCCCTCGGCAGTGCCTTTCAGACGCATGAATGAATGTGGGTCTGTCCTCCCGCAGATGACACCAAAGCTGAGGAGAAGGAGCCCATCGAAACACAGCAAAACGGTGACAAAGACGACGACGAGGAGGGGAAGAAGGAAGACAAGAATGGGAAGTTCAAATTCATGTTCAACATTGCAGATGGCGGCTTCACAGGTATTGGAGTAGGGGATGGGCAGAGACCTGCGCTGGTCGGTGTCACAGGCTTCCTGTTTGTGTGGGTCCTTGGAGTCTGGGCTGATGGTTATTTTATACTAAAGTGTGAATGGTTGATCAGAGTCCATTGTATAGCTTTTTCTAGTAACACTGGAACACTGATCTTCCAGAGGTGGGAAGGTGGTAGGTAGTGAGAGAGAAGCTCTCCTAGGCCCACCTAGGGACTGGGGAGGCACCTCATTCTGTTCCCATTGGCTGACTTCCTAGAGCTGCACACACTGTGGCAGAATGAGGAACGTGCTGCTGTGTCCTCGGGGAAAATCTACGACATCTGGCACCGGCGCCATGACTACTGGCTGCTGGCGGGCATCGTGACGTATCCTTGGCCAAGCCAGTCTGGGCAGGACCCTGGCGTGTTCCTCTGTGGCCCTCGGGGGGAGATGTGGGCCTGTGGGGTGAGGAGTCAGGAGCCAGTGCTCCTGACCAGGTGCCAAGGCCCGTTCGTTCCTGTTGAGGATGATGGTGATGACGGTGACCATAGTAGTGCTCGTCCCTTTACACTCAGTGCTCACTCTGTCCTCACAGCAGCTTTCCAAGAGGGACATCACTATGATCCCTGTAATGCAGAGGAAGAAACCGATGCTCAGAGAGGCCAAGTGACTTGCCCAGGGACACACAGCTAAAATGTCACAACCCATCCATCTGACTCCACAGCCAGTGCTCCCAACTCCTAAATAGCAGAGACTTCGCCTCCTCTCAGTACTGACACCTGAAGAGTGTTTCATTGTTTCCAATGGCTTTCATTCATTCATTCATTCATTCAGTCGCTCATTCTATCTTCAGTTCAATCACCTGCCATGTGCCACGCATGGAGGGTGCAGCTGTGAATCAACAGAACAGCCCCAAACCCCCACCGGCTTGGAGCTCACATTCTTCGGAGGACAGGTGGCAGATGCCCAAAGTTAGCAGAGTGTGGGGGGTGTGATAGAGCAGGGGCGGAGAGAAGGGACCTTTGGGGGTGGGGCTGCATTTCCAGTGGGATGGTCAGAGAAGGAGACAATTGAGCACAGACCTCCTGGAAGCAAGGGGAGGGCCGCACAGTTACCCCGGGGAGCCCCCCGGCAAAGTTGGCCTTCATGACGGCCTTGAGTGGGGCTGGCTGTTATCACGGAGGTGGAGTGTCGTGGAAGGGGGCTGGCAGACCAGTCCTCACGGGGCCAAAGAGTGGATTTTTAGGCTTTGCAGAGTAGCCGTAGACAGTACATAAACCAGTGAGCGTGGCCGTGTTACAATAAAGCTTTACAGAAACAGGTAGCGGGCCACAGTTAACTGATCCCTGTCACGGAGGCTAGGGTATTGGAGCCAGGCTGCCCAGGTTCCAGCCCTGACTCTGCGTCTTGTAACTGTGGGACTTTGGGCAAGGTGGCTGTCTCGTGTCTCCTGGAGCCAGGCTGCCCAGGTTCCAGTCCTGACTCTGCGTCTTGTAACTGTGGGACTTTGGGCAAGGTGGCTGTCTCGTGTCTCCTGTTTCCTCTGAGAGCTTTAGGGGAGGATTCTTCCTCGTTCGTCCCCAGCTTCTGGTGGCGGCCATCAATCCTTGGCATCCCTTGGCTTGCAGATCTGTCTCCATTTCACAGGGCCTTCTTCCCCGGTGCCTATGTGTCTGTGTCCACATTTCCTCTTATGAGGTCACCAGTCACGGGGTCAGGGCTCATAACCCAGTATGAGCCTTTCTTAACGAGTACCCCTGCAGAGACCCCACTTCCAAATGAAGTCAGTCACAGGTACCGAGCTTCAAACTTGAATGGATTTCCCCACCTTCCCTCTGCCTGGGTCTCTGGGGTGGAGTTAACCCTCTGAAGCCTCAGTGCCCCATCTGGGCCCCTGCGGGCACCTCTTAGTGTCTGCTGATTGTCACATCGTCATCGTTGGTATGCATGTCCTGCCGCCAAGGTTAACGACTTGCCTGAGAGTGCCCAGTCAGGACTCTGACCCTGGGCCGGCCCCCCCCGCCCCCCGCGCGCTGGCCAGGTTTGCCCTTAACGGTGGCCCAGGCACGGCTACGCCCGCTGGCAGGACATCCAGAACGACCCGAGGTACATGATCCTCAACGAGCCCTTCAAGTCTGAGGTTCACAAGGGCAACTACCTGGAGATGAAGAACAAATTCCTGGCCCGCAGGTTCAAGGTCAGTCTTCGGCAAGCCCGGGGCGAAGGCGACTGCGAGCAGCACCCCCCTCCCCATATATATCTGGAAGTGGGCCAGGCTGTCCGTGAAGAGGAGTCATTTAGTCAGTCAATTAACAGGGTGCTGGGTCTTGTTCCCGGGTCAGGACCCACTGGCTGGCTGATAGGTGCAGAGAACCCAGCTGGATGAGGCTCCAGGGGGTGGCCAGGGTCAGGTTCAGCTGGACTTCTGGGTGGGGATGTGTCCTCTCTCCTTTCTGCTGAGAGCCTCGGCCTGGGCGGATGCTGGCGGAGAAGGCGCCAGGCTGATGCTCCGCCTCCTGCCCCACCCCCAGCTGCTGGAGCAGGCGCTGGTCATTGAGGAGCAGCTCCGGAGGGCCGCGTACCTCAACATGACCCAGGACCCCAACCACCCAGCCATGGCCCTCAACGCCCGCCTGGCTGAGGTGGAGTGCCTTGCCGAGAGCCACCAGCACCTGTCCAAGGAGTCCCTCGCTGGGAATAAGCCTGCCAATGCTGTCCTGCATAAGGGTGAGCAGACCACTGCCCAGGGGCCGGCCCACCTGCCTGCCTCCTGCCCGGTGGACCCTCGGCCGTGGATGAGGGCACCAATGAGGACATGCAACCAGGGACAGAGCGTCGGAGGGCAGAGCCTCCTGGCCGGACGGAACAGTGCACTGTCCGGTCTCTCAAGCTTTGACAATATGCTTTAAGTACATTATCTCTGCGATCCTGGAAATACTCTCAGGGGAGAGGCTCATTATCCCGTTTTAAAGACGGGACGCCAAGCTCAGGGAGATGGCAGTCATTGCCCAGCAGACCCCGTGTAGACCTTTGCCCCTCGCGCTGTGGAGGGACAGGGGGAGGGACTCCCTGGCCTTGCCGGCCCCTGCTCTGTCTGGGAGATGTCTCCCGGGGCAGTTCTTCCTGTGAGCCCCCCACCTTGTCCCCAGCGGTGGTCAGGGACTGCAGGCCTCCCTGGGAGCCAGGTGGCTGGCTGAGGGCCTGGAGGGAAGCCCAGCGTTGGCTCAGATTCTGGCCCCCTCTGCAGCCCACAGCCCCTGGGGGAGACTGTGCTCGCAGGCCCGGAGGGCGGGGTGAGGAGCGCCCCCTGGTGCCCGCTGCCCGCCGAGTGCGGTAACACACCCTTGTAAATGAGCGTCCACCTGAGCCGCCTGCGCCTGCATCACAGCCCCTCCGTCCTCCCTGCCCCCTCCCCCCTCCCGCAGTCTTGAACCAGCTGGAGGAGCTGCTGAGTGACATGAAGGCGGACGTGACGCGCCTGCCCTCCATGCTGTCCCGCATCCCCCCGGTGGCCGCCCGCCTCCAGATGTCCGAGCGCAGCATCCTGAGCCGCCTGACCAACCGAGCGGGCGACCCCACCATCCAGCAGGTCAGCTTCTGCCTGCAGGCCCTGGGCCCGAGTCCCCCTCGCGCACGTCCCGGGTGCCCCGGGTTGGGGCTTGGGTCGCGGTGTGGGACTACCCACCACCTTTAAACCTGAGTGCTTGCCTCCAGGGCGCTTTCGGCTCCTCCCAGATGTACAACAACAACTTTGGGCCCAACTTCCGGGGCCCTGGACCGGGAGGGATTGTCAACTACAACCAGATGCCCCTGGGGCCCTATGTGACCGGTAGGTGCCCGTCTGCCCCGGGCAGCATGCACAGGGGCGCTCCGGCGGCCTCGCCTGCTTGCCACCGCCCTGGGCAAGCCGAGGTTTTCTCTCTCTGACAGACATCTAGCCGTCCCCGTGACTTCTCTCTGTTGCAGTGCTCATTTCCAGCTGAGGTAAGGCCACTTGTGGATGCTCTGGTGTCCTTTGTCCCCTCCTTGGCTCTGCAAGTCCGGCCCGGCCAGAACCGGCCTTGGCCCATGCGCTTGACTCACGCCCCTGAGCGTTGGGGGTCTTCACTGCCTTCTGGGGCTGCGAGGGTCTCTCCCACTTGTCTGGAGTCCCTTGCCCCAGCCCCCTCTGTCCTGGGGACCGTCTTGGGGCCAGTGTGTGTGCCCAGGTTTCCAGATACTTCCCTGAGAGGCTGGGGGGCAGGACACAAAGGGTGGGGGCCCTTGGGCGTGCTCCCGTGTGTGCACACGTGTCCATGGCAGTGGGCCAGGGGCCGCCTCCTCCAGCTGGGAACTCTGTCTCCACTGTCCTGCTGGGTAGCGAGTGCCTAGGATGTCACCCCCTCGCCTCACCCCCAGGCCCTGCCCAGGACCAGGAGGGCTTCTCAGGGTTCGGGGAGTAAATGTTCCTGGCTAGGAAAGGGACGCTTGCTCCCCCAAATCCATCAGTTCACCCTGGCTCCCACCGAGCTCTGTCTGGGCTTCAGGGTGGAGGTGTCGGAGGGGAGGGTGACTGGACTGGCTGCACCCGCCTCCCGCCCCGGCTGCCACTTCCTCCGGCGGTGCTGTCCGGCACTCTGGGTGGGACCTTGGCCTGTCCTGCAGCGTGAGGCTGGGGGGTCTTGGCTAGGGAGCCCCCGTGATTGAGGCGGCTACAGGGGGTGGGGTGCTCCCTGACCGCCCGCCTGCATAACCCGCGATCTGCCTCTTGCAGCCACATCTGCCGGGTCACCTGCCCGACCCCCACAGGAGAGAAAAGCTACCGCCTTTTTAGGAGCCATCGTCACATGGGCACAGGAAGGGAACCCAAGTACTGCCATCGCCGGGGGGACGGGGCCCGGCCCGGCTGGGCTGGAGCCCAGAAGTGCCACCTCATCGTAACCCAAGTGTTCCACACAGCGTCACACCCACACCACACGGGATGTGCCCTGGGCCACCTTTGCCAGATGACTTCTTAGAGGAGATTTCATTTATTTGTCCATCTTTTGCACTTTTCCTATTGAAGACTTGAACAAGTTTGTCTTGTTGAAGTTGAGTGACATCTGAAGGGGTCTAACCCGAAGCGCCACGTCTGTCTGTCCACGGGCCCCCGACAGACGGACGCCTGGAAGCCCTGCTGCCGCCGGGTGCTGGGCACGCAGGGAGGATGCGGCGTCTGCCCCAGAGCCCGCGGTGTGTCCCCGCCACCTGTCCCGTCTGCGCCGCCCCTGCCGAGTGGGGCCCCCCAGGGCCAGGTGCAGGGGGCAGGTGCCCCGGCTGGATGGTGGAGACCTGGCTGGTGCCTGGGGCAGGGCGGGGCGGTTCCCCGACTCCGTTTCTGCTAGGGCTGGGGACCGCCAGGGTCGTGTGATTTTGGGGGAGGGGCTGTGTCGGCACCGGTGGTGGCTTGCGGCCACCGCCCTGCGTGGCAGACACAGCGTGGGCTCCTAGGAGTGGAGGTGAGGCCTGTGCACGTCGTGGCGTAGGGGCCGTGGGGCCTTCGGGTGTGCTTTTGGGCAGGTGGTGGTTAGCATCTCAGCAGAGAGGTCACAGCAGCATTGAAGGTGGCCCAGGAGCCCTTGGCCCTGCCCTGTGCCCTAGGAGGTCTGTAACACCCATCTCCAGGTACACACTCCCCGCCGTAGGCTCATGGGCTGCAGATGCAGGAAACCAGGCAGCCCCGGAGCCGGGACTTACGCTGTGCCGTCCGTGCGGAGCCCTCGGTCCAGGCACTTGCCACCCAGGGCAGGGCCAGAGCTGCCCTCGCTGTGTCCTCAGATGGCCTGGGCAGAGCTCCGCTGGGGGGCAGGGGACTGGACCTGAGGGCCCCTCCAGCCCACGCTGTGGGAGCCTCCCAGGCTTCCTACCTTGTGTCCTGCCAGGAACACTGGCCCTAGCCCTCCACGCAGCTGGCGGTATCCTGTGATGGCCAGGCGTGGGCGTGGGGGGAGCGGCCCAGGCTTGGGCCTGTCATGTCTCACGCTCCCTCTGGCCCCAGCTCAGCCAGGGAGGGATTTCTGAGCCTTGGGCTTCCTGGGGAGTGGTCCTGGGTAAGAATTCTGTTTGAACGATGGACAAACTGTGCCTGGGGCTGGGGGTGCCAGGAGGGGCTTGGGCGTGCCAGGAGGGGCTTCACCCAGGTTTCCAGGACCAGGACTGGAGCTAGGATTTGGTGACTCATCTTGGGGGCAGTTAGGTGACTGACCAGCCCTCATAGAGCCCCAGATGGCCTCATCTGTGAATGGCTCACTCTAAACCCTGGAGGGCTGGACCCCCAAGGCCCCTTCCATCTCGGCTGCCCCCCACTCCACCTTGATCAAAATCTCTAAGGCTGATCCAGCCCTGGCGTTTTGGATGGGTAGAGTGGGGAGTGTCCTGTGGGGGGGCACCCAGGTTTCCAGGACATGCAAGCCGCAGCGCCTCCCGCGAAGGCGGGGTCAGCCCAGGCCACTTTGGTGCACATGCGTGTGTGTCCTCTGGTCAGTGCTGCCCTGTGCAGGCTCCTGACTCAGGCCACAGGCAAGGTGACTGTCAAGAGTCCCCTCTGCCCAGGGCCTGGAGATGCTCCCCTCCCAGACAGTGGTCATCCCTGTGGTTGGCCTTGCTGGGCACAGTGCCGGCCTTCCCTGGACACAGTGGACGGTCTCAAGCGTCAGGCTGGGAGGCACATGGCAGCAGGACAGGGGTCTGCTTCTCCCTGCTCCTACCCAAGGGCCTGCGGTCCCTCCCCTTCCATCCCTGCCTCCCTCTGTCCCCACCATCCCCACGCCCTTCCTAGGCCTTGCTGGGCTCCCCTTTGCCATTCTCCTCACCATGCCGAGGCCGAGCACTGCTGGTCCCAGGAAGGGTCGTGGACAGCTGGGGAGCGGGTTTCTGGTTGACTGGCTTGGGAGAGGAAAAAGGATCTTAAGAATGTTTTCTTCTTGGTTTATCCGTTATCTCCCAGCAAAGGCGGCGGGCGGGGGTGTCCCACCGTCTGTGGCATGTTCAGGCTGGGTTTGGTTTTTGCTGCTGGCAGAATGAGGGTCGTCGTCGTGTGCAAGCAGAATCCCAAAGCGCCAGCCGCGTTTTGTTTGCAGCCACCTTATTATTTAAACCAGTGCCGAGTAGGCTTTCTGTTGAGCCACCTTTGGGCCATGGTCTTTGAAAGCATCACCTCCTGGGCTCCCAGGTGGCATGGGGAGTTCGGGTTGGACCGGCCGTGTTCGCAAGGCCCCCCACTTGCACACGCCTGCCACCTGCCACGGAAGCACACCCCGCCATGCTGTGAGGGGCCCCGCCCTGCAGGCCACCTACGGATGTTCCTTTGTTTTCACAAATTATGGCCAAGGTCCTGCTGATACCCACAGCTGGTGCAGATGCCACCCTTCTGCTCGTTGGAGCCCCCTGGAGGGTCCGCTGGGGCCTCCCTTGCCCAGGTTGGGGACTGGCCAAGTCTGGTGCCAGTGACACCTGTAGCCCTCGTTCCCAGGTGTCAGGTCTTGGGGCTCTCGTGTAGAAGGTGGGCTCGGGGACCTGGGAGCAGGCAGCCTGGAGCGTGGTGGCAGGGGAAGGGTCCCGGGTGGGACGCAGGGGCTGAGATCTGGCCTGCTCACAGCCTCGGGTACCCCCACTGCACCCGAGGCTGTCCTGTGCCTGCCACCGTCTCGGTCAAGGGAGCTGGCTCCAGCCCCATTTTATATTTCTGGAAGTTTACAGGTTGCGGTATATCAGCCCAAAGTCATTTGTGTTGTGTTTTGGGTTTTTTTCTTAGTTTTCAGATTTTTTTTTTAAACAAAGTATTTTTTTAGGTATGATAACCCAGAAAGGGCCTGTTGGGCGCGTGTGTGTGTCCTGAACCCCTGACATCGTGGTGGGAGCCTGAGCCTGAGTCCGGAGATGAGGGAGGGGTCCCACTCCCCGTGTCAGAGTGGGGAGTATGACGGTGTAGACCCCCGCCCGGGGACAGCTCCAGGCCAGCCAAGGGGCTGGGGACGCTTCGGGCAAGTTGGAGGGTCCTAGCGGGGTGGAGGGGGTCCCAGCTTGAGGGGGCTGGAGCTTTGGAAGCCGAGCCCCTGTAAGTGCTGACTTGTGCCACCCTCGGGAGGACATTTGGGACACTCTGACAGAGACTGTCACTGACACGATCCCCTTCACTTTGTACTGTGCGTATGTCTTGGTTTTCTGTGTTTTAATAAATCCTTCGGGAAAGGACTGAATCAGTGTTTTCCTGAAATTCTCGCTGATCTAGGAAGCGGGGTGTCGGCTGGGGGCAAGGGAGGGCCGCAGTGGGAATGGGGTGTCGCCCGAGGCCGCCTCCTTCCTGAGAAGACCTGGCCCCACGGGGCCGAGGGGCTTGCTGGGGAGGGACACCCCAAGAAGGACTGTGTAGGGGTGGTGCCTACTTTCCCCCCTGCACCCTTAAACACACGCCCTGTTGCATCGGAGAAACACTGAGCTCCGGGTGACAGCCTGCAGCCCTCCTCGGACCCCAGCCTCTGTCCCCAGAGGGCACAGCAGCCTCCCAGCGACCAGAGAATGTGTGTTTTAGGGGCGCGCCCACCCCTGAATCACTTGGGAGAGACGGGGTGGGTGGGGGTCTTGGTCCTCAATCTTTGCCTCTTCTCCGGGGTCCATTTCTCCCAACCCAGCCTTGGCCCCAGGCTCAGGATTCGGGGGGGCCCCAGTCTGCAGAATGGCGGCAGCCTTCTCCCTTCCCCACTGTCCTCCGTCCGGCCCTGACCTGGAGCGCCGTGTGCCTGGAAATGAGGGGAGCAGGAAGCCGAGGACCCTACGGGCTTGGCCTTTATTTTGTCATTCCATAAATACGGTGCCTGTGTCTCGGCTGAGCGTCTGGAAGCGCGAGGCGGACGGCAGTCTCGCCTACGGAGGGAGCGCGGTTGGCTGAGGAACCACAGTCATCGCAGAGAAGGGGAGAGAAAAACGCGTTATTTACAAGACTGGAAGAGAACAGCAGACGGAGCGAGGCCTGTCGCCTCTCGGACCTTGGCTTTGACCTTGGCTCTGACCTTGGCTCTGACCTTGGCTCTGACCACAGATGTGGGATGAGAAACAGAGGGGGCTCCGCGTGTCTCTACACAGGAAGACTGACCCAGCCCTGCCCCCCAAACCAGGCCTCTTTCCTGGACCAGGTGCTCCCCAGGGCCTCCCGGGCAAATTCTGCTTCAAGGTAAGGGCAGGGCGAGAGGCTGAAGGGGTGGGGGGTGGGGCGGCTGGCTCCAAACCCTTGCTGGGGCCCAGCCCCTCGCCTTGGGGCCACCTCTGCCCAGCTCTTCCCTCTCCAGGCTCTGACTGCCCTGGGCTTCCATCTACCTTCCTCCCCCCATCCCAGCCCCCTCCTAACTCAGACCCTCCCCTAGGAAACAGAGACCGTCCTCCCTGCAGTGGGCGTGGAAGAACAGGACACCTCAGAACCAGGCTGAGGACGGTGCCCCGGGGCCCAGGCTGCTGGGTCCTGGCACTGGCCGTTTTGGCTTTGGCTGAACTCAACCCTGGGGGCCCTCATGTCCCTCTGTTTGGCACACCTGTGGCCAGAAGGGGCTCGGCCTTCCCTGGTGTGGCTCACCAGGGCAGCGGCCCCGCCTCGGGCCCCACGGCAAGTCCTGGTCCCTGTTCACTGGGCAGCAGTGTGGAGGGGACCCAACCACGATCCCCGGCGAGGGGTGGGCCTGGACCCAAACGCCCAGCACAGGGCCCCGCCTCAGAGCGGGGTGCCCCCACCTGTGTGATGGGGAGCGGCTGAAGGCCAGGCACCTCTGCTGGGACGGGCAGTGCCTGCTCCCCACACCCACAGGGTGAAGCCTGTAGGAAGCCAGGTGGGCAAGACCCCCAAGGGCCAGGTCTACGCCGGGGAAGGTTCTAGATTCCAGGGTCAGCACAAAGGTCAGGAGTGGAGAGGGCTGTCCCCCCACCTTGCCTCTGCAGCTTCCTCAGGCCTCAGCCTGGCCAGGACTGGTGGCAGGCCCCCTGAGGACGGCAGGGAGGAGCCCCCGGGAACAGCAGCCTCTCTGCCTGCCTCCCAGGTGAGTGCGAGGGGGTGGGGTGCCCAGAGCGGGCGGGCACATCTGTAGGGCCTGGCTCCTGCCCCTGCCCACGTGGCCTGCAAAGGCTGCGGCCCCTCTCAGGACCGTGGGGGCTGCAGCTGTCCCCTTCCACTCCCCATCGCTCCGGCACAGGCTGGGGCTGCAAAGGCACTGACAGCTCTGTGTCCTGCCCTTGCTCTCCGTCCCCAGTCCGTTCCAGGCTGGGGTGGGGGACGTGATGGAGGAATGACCAACCCAAGCTGTCCTTCCTTTTCACAGGGTATGGGGGGATCCTAGGGTGGCATTGCTGCCCATCTGCCTAGGTCGCAAGCTCTGAGCACAGACACTGAGCACCCCAAGGAAGAACAGCTCAACGCACCTGATCCGAGGCCTCGCAAGGGTGATGCTCCTGGGGCCTTTTCCTACATTGCAGGGACCGCTGCTGGGTGTGCAGGCCCCCGGCCTTGGGGATGCAGTAAGGAAGACCCCAGGGACCCTCCCTCACTGAGAAGATCTAAGCATGTTCTCTGTAGAGCCCAAGGCCACCACCCTGGGCCGAGCAGAGGTGCCACCGCTCCTGAGAGTGGTCAGCAGCCATAGTCCAGCTAAGCGTGCACGACCTCGCGGCCTTCCGGGGCAAGGTCAAGGGGCGGCAGACTGGGTACCTGGCAGGGAGGGCGGGCAGGGCCCTGGGGGGCCTGGGCTGGAGCCTGCTCCGCCAGGCCCCCTGCCGAGCGCTCCGGGCAGCCCTGGCACAAGACTCATCGACGGCGTGCAGGGAGCAAGCTGGTGGGGCGAAGAGCTCGAAATCAGATCCCCAAATTTTTTATGGGTCCCAAATTGCAGAGCTAGTCCCCCTGGATCCCTGGGAAAGTACCTGGAGCCCTTGGCCCGAGGGAGACCCCAACGTCCAGGGCCCTGAAAACGGGGACAGGAAGACCAGACCTCGTCTTAGATTTTGAAAGCGTCCCTCTGGACACTTTTAAACACAGCAGGGGGCGGCTCTCGGCAGAGGAGAGGGCAGCCCTGCCTGCCCCAGGCCGCGACTGGTCCAGCCTGGCTGGACTCGAGGAGTCTCGGAGAACGGCCCCGGCTGGGACTAATCGCGGCCGTTTCTTCGTGGAGGACAAGCAGAGGCTGCAGGCGTGAATGTTCTAGTGACCAAGGCCGTCTCCCCAGCATGATGCGGGTCCTTCGAAGCAGAGGATGGTGTGTTGCAGCGACTTTTGAGATGTTTTCCCGATGACATCTTGGTGCTTGTTTTCTTTTTGACGCAAACCACACTCTGGACTTGGCTTCAAAACAGCTTAAGCGAGCGGCGGGGACAGAGACACTAGGGGGGGACGGGAGGTGTCCTGGCCAGCAGCGGGGCTTCTTAGGACCTGTAGTCCTTTTTGCTGTAGGGTTTATTGCCCAAAATACTATCGATCTCGTGGATGATGGACGACGACAGTTTGGGAAGGACCTGTGTGTGACGAGAACGGATGAGAACTCCACCGAGACGGGCCCAGGCTCCCGGCTCCGGCTCGAAGCGGATGGGGCCGCGCTGCTTTTTATTCCAGAAGATTTGGGGCGGAGAGGAAGCCTGCCCTGGCTTATACTCTGCCCCTCAAACTCCAGAGTGTTCTAGATTCTTCCGGGACGCATAAAATGCAGACTGCAGGGCCCGAAGCCTGATTTCCACACCCCCAAAGTGCTTTTCCCAGCCTTTCTTACTTCACCCTCTCAGGTGACAAAAACCCAGGGGCCATCTGTGACTCGCTCGCTCTCTCTCACATTCAGTTTGTCAGCCAGTCCCACTGTCCCACCATCCGAACATCCAGGACACGCCCACTGCTCCCATCTCCGCCGCCGTCCCCACCCACACCCTGTTGCTGTCACTTCCTAGGACATCTCCCTGCCTTTCCTGCTCCCCAGTGCTCCCTCAGAGGGACACTTTTAAAACCTAAGTCAGACCATGCCCCTCCTCTGCTCAGAATCGCATGGCTGCCACCTCGCTCCCAGGCATCACCAAAATCCTCAGAGGCCTCACAGTGTCCTGTAGGGTCCACTGGACTCCTGCCTGCCCCTCCGCTGGCCCCTGGGCTCATGCTTGCCTTGGGCATTCCACTGGCTGTTTCTGCAGCCCAGAATGTTCTTCTCCCAAGTCTTTGCAGGGTCCACCCCTCACTTTGCATCCCCCATCTCCCAGCCTCCAAGCCTTTGCTCACATGTCACTTCCTCCCCAAGGCCACCCTGATGGCCTCTTTGCCCTGGGCCCACAGCTCTCCCTGCCGTCTGCCCCGCCGGACACCCCCACCTTGCTCTAGTGTGTTCCATAGTGCTTATCTGATACATACTCTAATTTCCTCAGTTCCTGAATTTAGTGTTTACGGTCCGTTCTGGCTGGCACGCCAGCTCTTCCAGAGCAGGACTTGTTGGTGGCTCACCGATGGAGCCCAGGTACCTAGGACAGTGCCTGGCACGTAGTAGGTGCTCAACAAATGTGTGTTGGACAAATGACTGATGGGAACCTGAGCTCTGCTCAAGGGCCCGGGGGCCTAGCACCTGGCAGGAAGCCCTGCTCACCTGTATTGCTCCGATGTTCTCCATCAGCTGGTCTACACTGGAAGCGCCCAGGAGCACGGAGCTGACCCCCTCGTTCCGCAGGCACCAGGCTGGGGGGCAGCGAGACCAGAGGTGAGGGGGACGCACCCCTGCAGGGGCCCTTCCAGTTCTGCCCTGCCCCTCGCTGGGCCAGAGACGCCGAGCCTCTGGGTCTGGGGGCTGAGGGTGCCTAGGAGGGGCCTGGAAGCCCAGGGCTTAGTGGTGCTGGGTGAGGTTGCTGGGGGAGGCCTGGCAGACTGCCCCCGTGTGGAGAGGTGGCCCCGGTGCACAGAGACCACCATCCTCTTCCCAAGGATGTGGTCCTCCCGTTACCCATGACTGGCTGATGGAGGGGGTGGCCCAGGCATCAGGACTCCCGACATCTCCCAACCCTGCCCCACCCCCCGCCCTGTCACCTATGGCCAGCTGCGGGAGGGTGCAGCCCAGGCGTTCCGCGATGGCCTGCAGCTCCTTCAGCTTGGCCTGCTGGCGGCGGCCCTCCTCACTCAGGATCTTGTCCTTCAGCCACTGGTAGCCCTGGTCGGGGGAGGGGGAGAGCACAGCGCACAGGTGAGGGTGGGTCACCTGGACCTCTGTATGCGGATGGCTGGTTTCTTCCAGAATCTTCTCCTCAAACAGCAGCTCTCATCCCCACTTGGAGACAGGGCAGCAGCCCCTCCAGCCCCGCCCCCAGCCTGACCATGGCCGCTGTGGGCACAGCCGGAAGCGTGGGACCTGTTGCACTCTGACCCCAAGTCTGTGGGGAGCTGAGGCAGGGCCCCTGAGCCGCGACAGGGAGGTGGATGTGCTGACTTTCCCTTCTCCCAGGAGACCGGGCACCCCCTGGAGGTGCGCTGCTGCCTCGGGCCCAGCTCTGGGAAGGCGCCGTCTCCCTGTCCCATCCCGGGGTTGCCTCCCAGAGGCTCCCTGGCCTCGTTTTCAGGGTTGGGGAGGAGTGAGAGAGGGCCAGACATCCTGTCCTTGAACCCGGGGGCAGGGTTTCCAGTGCTGGATCTGCCCTGGCCTGGCCCGGCTCCTCGTCCCCCACACCCTGTATTCACCAGGCTCTCCTTGAGTCCCATCCCCAGAGGTGGGCGTGTGTGTTTGGGGGGCTCATCCTGGGTAGTCACCTTTGAGAGTGACAACTGAACAAGCTCTGCAGCCGCCAGCCTTGAGCTCCAGCCGGAGCTCTCAGCGCGCATGTCTGTGGGGGAGGGGCAGCCCAAAGGCGCGTGTGGCCCCAGCTCCGGCCGTGAAGGCTGGACTGTGGCAGGAGCGGGGTGGTGGCGCTGGCAGGAGCCGAGAGGCCTCTTCATCCGGGGCCTGTCCCATGGGTGGGCAGCACTTCTAGCCATGGGCTCAGGCCAGCAGGGTCTGCCGGTGGCTCAGCCTGGAACCACCCCGCAGACGGGGCCCAGGGAAGTCTCGCCCAGCGCCAAGGTCACCAGCGCCAAAGCCACCAGCACCAAGGCCCTGGCTCTCCAAAATGCCGGTCCCCTGCCCGTCTCCTCCCCTAGCCCGTCCCCAATCCCTAGCCCGGCCACTCCTTTACCTTCAAGGAGGCTCTGGAGTAGGGTGGGATGCCACTGTCGTACTTTCCGGAAACGATGCCGCAGGCCAGCGGGGACCAGGTCATGGCCCCCACTCCTGGGAAAGGAAAGCCAGGCCAGGTCAGGGCCAGGTCAAGGCCAGGGCCTGGGGGCGGC